GTTGGCGCCAAATTTGAATCCGACGAATTATTATACACATTGTAATGTGCAAATATGATACAATTATTTTGCAATATGCCGGTTACACATTTGACCTGATATAGAAAAGTATGAATAGAATACAAAGTTGCATAAATATGACAATGAAAAATTAGCAAAACTATTATTAATTGCGTAGAGCGAATATTTTTTGGACTAACATTTGAACAACAAATTTGATATGTTAAAAAATACACATATTTAGATAAGATATCACACAGTATTTGATTTTCACTGACATTATCTATTATATAAAAATAAGTTGGGTTTTCCTTCCTGACGATATAACTCCAGAACGCACGAACCGATTTCGACGATTTTGCATTCGTTGGAAAGGTCTCGGGCTCCGTGAGGTTTATAGCAAAGAAAATTGAAGAAAGATTTCAACAGAAAAGCGGAAAACACTTTTTCTTTTTTCACATACAGCGTCATCTTTGATACTTAGCATGTACTGCAAACTAATATTTTTGGTTTGACTGCCAATCATTTGTTTGACAGCTACGTTCTCTGCTTAGTTAATTTCATGTGACAAACCGGCATTGCGTTCACTGAGAAATTGTGCACAAAAAAAGTAAAAAAATAAGTTATTCGTTTTCTAACATTTCAATTGGAAACCGTCAAATCAATTACGTGTATTGTGCAATTTTTTTTCAATTTCAACGGCCGGCATTTTTTTCTTCATCTTTTAATCACCAAACGAAATGTTACATAAAATGAAACCATCTGGTGGTGAAACGAAGTTCGCCCGGTTTGCTAGTAAATATATATTATTGAAAACTTGATGGGAAACATGAAATAATATATAAATTTTAGTTAGATTGGATACTGAATACAAACCGAATACAAAATAATTAAGTTATAAATCAGTAAAAGGGATGAAAATAATTTAAACTAATGTGTAACATTTTGAAACAACTTACATTTAAACAGTAGTACATACCTGTAATTAACTAATTACATATATACGATACAGTTCTTGTCTATTTAAATTAGTGACAGCTCCAAATATTTATCGTCCGATTAATTTCGATCCGAATTAGGTAGCATCGGGGTTCTTGAATTGTCCTA